TGTTGCCATATGAGGGGGGGAAGAAAGATGGCGTCACTGTCAGAAATGTACGATGTGGGATGGGAAGGTAATGTATTTTCTGTTTTGTTTCACAATGGCAGGCTTCATCTGCCTCTTAGACTTTTCAGATTTGTATTCGTAGTGGCACAGCGTGTAATGTTCGCTGTTTAACCGTTGAATTTTGATGGGAGGACGTCTTTAAAGAAGTGGGGAAATGCTAACTAGCATGCTGTGCTAAATGGTAAAAATCATGGATACGCAGAGAGGCAGGGTTATTAACTACCTGGTGGAACGATAATATGGTCTTTGTAGGACATTAATACAGTCTATAGTGTCGGTTTTCTGCATGAAGTCGCGTTTTAAACGCTAATATTCTGTCATGGTTACGGCTAACACTTGCTAATGCTGCATTAGGACACAGGGAAATGGTTTAAACCGTAATACCAGCTGTGTTTATTATTCTCTTACGCCTCTCTAGTGATTTAACGTGCAAATTATCTAGCTATATTTCGTGGTCATTATTGTCAATGGTTGTTTGCTGGGAGATACGAGGTTAAAATGTCTAACAGTCAAATGCTAACCAGCACTGGGAAAGGTTACCAGATTTTCTGCTGACATATATTCAGAGGTGCATGTGTTATAAGTCGAGTATTCATGCAAACTAAGATTAATTTTTTGTGGTGGTATATCTTTTTGTACAGAGATGAGAGACAAGCTACGTAAATGGAGAGAAGACAACTGCAGAAATAGTGAGCAAATAGTGGATGTTGGTGAGGAGCTCATCAGTGAACATGCATCTAAACTGGGGGATGACAGTAAGTTTTTTTTTGTTTTCAGCCACAAATAAATCCTGTACTGTTCTTGAAAATGTATATACTTTTTTATTTTTGGGGGGAGTGTCAAAAGATGACATGAGCGCCTTTTAAAGCTACAGTGTGTAATAATTACAGGGATATACAGTGAGAAATTTAATATATTATGCATAACTATGTTATTTATCATCATCTACGAGCTCAGCCTCTTAACCTTAATATTTGCGTTGCCTTAGAATTCGTTATTAATAATTACATAGGAGCGGGTCTCGCAGCCATGGAGGCAGACATCTTTGCGCTACGGCAGCGCAGAGCCAACAAACTAGCGATTGCGAGATCGCACATTACGCTCGAAAGTAACTACTGCAAGTTGTTTAAGTCTACATGAAATCTATACCCTACACAGACTAATGAAATACTATCGGTAAAATTATCTATGTAAACAAACCTCATCACTTGAGAAGGTAGGTGATGCGGACGTCGTGGAAGACATTTTGTCCCGTAACGCTCGCCGTACTGTTGGGGGGGAGAAGCGGTGGGGGGGAGATGTTCATGTTGCTGTGGTCTGCAGTCTGGACGTTGGATGTCGCTGAAAATTACACACTGTAGCTTTAATATAGTTAAGTATGTGTTTTAAGAAGAGAATAAAACAAAATTATAGTTGAAAACGATGTCAAGGGGTAAAGTAGTATTTATTAAAGGTGAAAGATAAAAAAAAAAATGTTAAACAACTCTCTTAAATGGGGATGGGTCAAATGCAGAGTGAATTTCCCCATTGTGGGACAATAAAAGGATTTACATACATTTAAATTTAGATAAATATTGTATGAACACGTGGTGTGTAATGGTATATCTCTGTGAAGAGTCTGTGAAAGGTAGAATATACCTATTATTTTTAAATAACTGTATCAGTTGTACCCCTATAGGCTGATTTATACTTCAAAACCAGGTCGTCTGCGTAGGTGTCACAGTGAACATCCATCCACAGAGACATCCCCGCCCCCTCCGCAGACACTCTGCTCCACCTCTCCAAAATTGTAGGTGACAGCAGACAGTGCCGCAGACAGGAGGCCTCTGATTGGTCAAATCTACATCCCCTCTACACTATGTGTATTTCCTGTTTGGTACCTTACCGGCTTCTTTTGTTTGTATGACCGTGATTGTGGAAAACGACTCGTGAATTTGGACCAGCTAGAAGAACAAGGTGTGCAAGAACGCTTTTTCCACCTGGATCCCTGCTTTTTTCGCCCTCATGTCCCTCTGTTGTCGGACAAACTTGCCCCCACTTCCTCACCTCACGCCTCGGCTGTATCTAGACCCACAGCTTGTTCGTGATTTTCCCCTTTTGCATTGTGGCATGGAATAAACATAGCGCAGACCATGCTTCAATATTGAGCATAAATCAAAAATGTCTGTGTTATACCTGCGACAAGCTCACTGCAACACACTGCTGCAGGAGTATAACCAACCCTTATGGCTTCTTTCCATTCTGCTATTCATAGAAATGACACTTAAAGTTAATATTATGTTGCCAAATAGCTCCTAAGCTATGGTCTCTAAGCAAGACTCGATTCTGCTTCACAGTCTTTCTGCTATAAATTGTTATTATACCAGCTTTACTTTAAAAGAAATTACCTTAGCTGCAGTAAAATGTTGTGTTCTTTTAGTATCCACCACAGACATTCGAAGGAGCCTTTCTTCTCAATTAGAGACTGGGGAGCAGCTCTGCTTTAAACTCCAGTCACTCAGGACATTTCCATGGCATTTTAATTATAGATTCACCAAAATGAAAATTCTTCGCTCAAATCGGAACCCGACCCCCCCACAAAAAACAAAAAAACAAAAATAGGAAACCAAGTTAGAAAGCAAAACACTCAAATAAATTATGTTAAATGGTAGAATCATGGCATTTATGGCTACAATGTGTGCTAACCTTAAGTAAAATCAAGGCATTTCAATAAATCAATTACAAAAGTACCAAAATATGTATTTATCACTGACATTTTTTTGTTTTGCCCTTTGCAGCACCAATGCTGCGTTTTTTAAACACCACCTACACAGACAGAGTGGGGTTGATTGGTGTCAGTTTCATTTTCTGTCGTATTCATCTCATGATTTCTATGGCATCATTTTTTTTTAAAATTGATAACTGATATATTGGTCAATATCCAATATATATTTTGACCAGAATATATATAAAAAAAAAAAACAAAAAAAAAACATAACAACATGGACATATAGATGATATGCACTGACAAACTGTAGTCTAACTAATATTGTGATAATATTCAACATATGATTCTAGATAAAGAAACGGAACACCAAAGTAGTGTTCAATAGATGGTGGATGATATATGTCAGCCCATCGATTATGTCGGTTGAGTTCTATTGTATAAATTGTGAAGGTTAAAAAGAACAACTGTTAAAGATAGAACTCATTAAACTAGATTATTGGCATGATTAAATTATTGATATGTAAAAGAAAAAAGGCAAGAAGCATACCTGTTTGAAGGATATTCTTAAGTTCTTGCATTTTTTATTTTGCACTCGCTGAAACATTTTATCTGTACAACTGCTGTTGCAGTCCATTAGGCCGTATAGTCAAGTCTGCTGTTGATTTGAAGGCATTTGAGTATTTTAATGACTGTTAACATAGCACAGGTCTTAATTATCCATGTAAGCTAACTGCCCTGCTGCCTTACTCTATAAAACATCTCAAGTCTTTATGATCCATACTGTGCTTATAAGTGTTAGGTTTATTCTTTTATACATCATGTGCATTGTTAGTTTGTTAGTCAGATTAGACAGAGCAGAAGGCCTTCCTTCACATTGTGGATGTCACGGTGTGTACGGAGGTCATCAAATCAAGACAGCCTTCGTGTCTTTAAGAGTACACAGGATATGGACTCATCTTGGAGCCCGACTGATAAAGGAGAGCTATCTGTAACCCTGAAGTATGGAAGCAAGCTGCATGAAGTTCAAGAAATGGATGGCGTGTCAGTTTCTGATACGGCGAGCTCAACATCAACATGATGCAACACATAGACCCATGAGCTATAAGAAGCAGGTGATGACCTTGTTCGGGGCTCAAACTTTGCCGGACGCTCGCGGACGTGATTTTTGAGACCACAGCTTTGCAAGCTCTAAGCATTTTTCTCTGTCCTGTAACGACCTGATCTGGAATAAACTCTGTCATTTTTTACTCCTGTTTTTATAGTCCTTTTTATATGGTTTTACCCAGTTTGAGTTAAGAGTAGTAAATAACTTGCTCCCAGGAAAAGAACCGGTGAGAAAGCTTCTTCCAAGGGGACAAATCCTTCTCATTTTAACATAAGGAGATAGAAACACTTGCCACGCTTTCCTTAAAACCAATGGAACTCTTAAATTAGCTGTGGAGTGAGAAAGCAATATTTAGAAAAAGTGGAAATTGTTAAAGTCAAGAAAACGAGTGAACTTGTTATTTCTGGGCCTCTGCGTGCTTCATTTTGCCCACACATGGTGTCTAACTTACTAACTCCAAGAATAAGTCTTTAAGACTTTTTACTGCCAGTTGTTCATGATTCTACAGTAGAATGTAAGAAAAGAAACATGTTTTACACATTTCATGGAATTAATCTTGCATCCTCTTGCTCTTAANTTTTACCCAGTTTGAGTTAAGAGTAGTAAATAACTTGCTCCCAGGAAAAGAACCGGTGAGAAAGCTTCTTCCAAGGGGACAAATCCTTCTCATTTTAACATAAGGAGATAGAAACACTTGCCACGCTTTCCTTAAAACCAATGGAACTCTTAAATTAGCTGTGGAGTGAGAAAGCAATATTTAGAAAAAGTGGAAATTGTTAAAGTCAAGAAAACGAGTGAACTTGTTATTTCTGGGCCTCTGCGTGCTTCATTTTGCCCACACATGGTGTCTAACTTACTAACTCCAAGAATAAGTCTTTAAGACTTTTTACTGCCAGTTGTTCATGATACTACAGTAGAATGTAAGAAAAGAAACATGTTTTACACATTTCATGGAATTAATCTTGCATCCTCTTGCTCTTAAGTCAGATTTTTATCTAAACATCTGTTTTTTATGAAATGTATTGAATAAAAAGCACAAAAATGATTTAATACAATTCTAACTAAGTATAAGTATAACTGAGATAGCCATGCTGAAATGATGTGGTTTTAGATTAATTGTATTGATTTTTAATTTAATTTGTCTCTCAAATGAAAAGTTAATATGGATTTTTTACACAATCAGCTAAGCATCAGAGGGAGTACATATACGTTTATGATGCGTTCACACCAGATGCAGCAGGCACAGCAGAAGCAGCGAGTTTACATGCAAAGTCAATGGTTGACGCGCGTCAAGGCGCAGCAAAAGGTCCCGCAGCATGTTTTGAGCAGCAGGCGCAGCGCGTCGGGAGCGTTTAAGCATCTGACGCGCGCGACATGCAGCAAACGCGCTGTTGCTTGAGATGGAAAAATTGAAGTTTTGTTGCTCGATGCGCCGCGTCAACCAATCAGACGCTGATCTGGGAGCTGCCAGGGAGAGAGACACATCGCTGATGATACAGAGCGCTGCAATCACTCCTCTGAAACAGTTTATTAACGCCTAAATTAACTTAAAATGCTGAAACCTAGTGGCTCAAAGATGTTATGTCATGCCTTACTCTCGAGAAAATTTGTTACTCAATAACTAACTCAGTAGAAAACTTTTTTACTGTGTGGGGACCCTTTTTGAAGTACTCCCATCACAATAAATTGAGATGAGATGTTTCCCTGTCCACCTTCCTACCTATGTTGAATTTGAATTCCAGTTAGGTTTTAAGTCTTTGGTGTTATCCAGGAACAGGGACCGACTGTACTATAACTGTTACTGCTGGTATGGGTTAGGGGTTTTGATTTGGTGGTGTTGCTTTCCCATTCTGACTTTTTTTTTTTTTCCTGTACACTCTAGACTTAGATGTAAACATCACAGTGTGCAATGTTGTATGTTAAAATGAAAATTCAATAAAAATATTCTGAGGAAAAAAAAAAATGCTGAAACCTGCTGACAAAGCGTGTTCGCTTTTATTATCCTGGTTCCTGCAGTTTGGATTATGTACATAAAAAAGGCCTTCCAGCCACCGCGGCAAACCGCGAGGAGGCGACCGGGCCATAGGCTGCTGTTGAATGGGATTCCTACTGACAGCGCACCGCTGGTATGTGGGGGTCTGAGCGGCTCCAACAGAAATTATATTAGAAGGCAGGATCGTAATCTGAATGAACTGACTGCACTGATTAAGTTTTCAGGTGGATTTTCTCACTTTACTCCCACTGATCACAGCANCTGACTGCACTGATTAAGTTTTCAGGTGGATTTTCTCACTTTACTCCCACTGATCACAGCAAATATTCAACCTGCATCGTCTTTTATTATTAATCAGGTTATAACTCTCAGGCAGCACAGCCTGAGTTTGCAGGTTAGAAAACATATCAAGCTTGCCTTTTCATTCAATACATTGAACATGGAAATGCTGCAGCCTGCCTGAGTTCATGGTAAGGTCAAAGTTAGAAACTTAGAAAACTTAGAAAGTTTAGATTCTCCACAGTTCAACCACCAATTTAATTTAATGGACACCATGAGCAAGAAAGCACAATTTATAAAGATATAGCCAGATGTGAAATTGGAATTTTTAAAATAAAGCTTTGACTTTCTACCTTTGAAGGGATCCTGAGGTCGTATTATCCAATCTTAGGTTGTTCATATGCTATTTGTCCATAAGGGTGTACAGATAAAAAGTAATCCAGGATATTGGTAATAAAAACATTCAAGGATGAGAAAATCGCCTCATAAAATCAATTTTCTACTAGCTAATGCGAACCGTCTTGCTAATTATTCATTTGCGGTTGATGTTTGGTATGTTTTGTTCCTCACCTCCCAGTCTATGCTTCTTGCTGAGGTTTGTTGGTTTGTTCAGGGTTGTTCGTCCTGGAGAGACTGGCCTGTGACTGGCTGGATGTGCTCTCTTCATCCTCTGACATGGGAGTTGGCTCAGAGCTCGTCTGCCAACGACGGGGCCGCCTTTTACAGCTGCTTTTTGTATCTCTGCTTCTGTCTCCTTGAACCCCAGTCGGCCTAGGCAGATGGCCGCTCACACTGATCCTGGTTCTGCTGGAGGTTTCTTCCTGTTAAAAGGGAGTTTTTCCTCTCCACTGTCACTACAAGCATGCTTAGTGTGAGGGATTCCATTTGAGTCAATGAGTCCATCGTTTTCGTGCACCTCGCTCTTCTAGCTGGTCCAACTTCAAGAGTCGTTTTCCACAATGGCAGTGATACAAACAAAACAAGCCAGTAAGTTAACAAACAAGAAATGTGCAAAGTGTAGAGCGGATGTAGATTTGACCAATCAGAGGCCTCCTGTCTGCGGGACTGTCTGCGGTCACCTACAAGTTTGGAGAGGTGCAGCAGAGTGTCGGCGGAAGGGGTGGGGGCATATCTGCGTTCACTGCGACACACAAGCAGACGACCTGGTTTCTGAGTATAAATCAGCCTTAATACTAAATCTACGGAAGCTCCGGGGAGCCAAAATTTACGGCGTTATTCAAAATTTTTAATTTTTTTTTTAATTGCCTGCAACAAAAAAATTAAAATGTATTTTTTATTTTATTTATTTTTTTGCGCCCAGGCCTAGGTGGTAAGAGCTCAATGTTAAATGGTTCATGAAGTATTCTCTGCTTCCCCTGACTTTTTTTTTCAAACTTTTGTCTTCACTCAGTTTAAACATCCACTCTAAAGAGTTTTGTTGTAATTGCAGTTTGATACTGATTAATACATCTATCTGGCTACACTCAGAACGTTGCGTCGGCCATTGGGGTTGAAACTAGAGAGGAATAGATGTGGTCCTGGCAAAAGATTTAAACTTCCAGACTGTTTCTTTCTATATTAAAATTTTCGTCTTGATCACATTAATATAAAACACAAGCAAAGCAGAACTGATTCTTTAGAATTTTATCTAAAATAATCTTTCTATAACCTAAGAGATAAAAAAATGGCCTACAATTCTTGGTAGTTTATTGCAACATGTTTCTGGTCAGACGGATAAATCTAGTAAAAACTTTCTGGAACTTATCCTGTGAGGTTTGAAGTAATAAAAATTAGATTCTATCCGTCCCCCGCTTTACCCTATTGTCTGCTTGCTTTACCCAAATTCCCATTTTTACTGTTCTCTTCGATGTTTGGATTTGTTTAAAGTATCACACATGGATTTACATGAACAAGGCTGCTTACAAGAGGGAAAAAAAACCCTCTTGCTGCTGCTGAGGGCAAACTTGATGTCAGTACATTAAGTATTTACTTTAGTATCTTCACTTTTTTTGCGTTCATAGCAACAGACAGGAAAATGGAAAGGTCATTTAACACTATCCTCTTTGTCTCTCTCTCTTCTGCCCAGTCTGGATTATTTATGAGCAGGTGATGATCGCCGCACTGGACTGCAGTCGGGATGACTTGGCTCTGGTAAATTTTTACCACACTTCCTCACACACCCAAAAAGCTTGAGAAGTTCATCGTTCAACTTGTCACAGCCAGTTGAGCTTTGCAGCACGCGCTCTGCCAGCTTTAGAAATGTCCTTTCTATCTGGCAGGGTAGCATTGCTCTGTCTGGAGCATGGAAATGCAGCTGGAAATCAGAGGGGGTTGAAAAATGAGACGAGAAGCACACTTCAAGTGTTTACCATCCTTTTACTCATTAAGACTTTTTTTTTTATTTGGCACCATTAAACTTTATTAGATGTCTAAGTAGTCTTAGGCCTGAAAGTCTACATAGCACAAAATAAATTAGATGGTATCAGGCATGGTTAGAAATGGATGTGATGACTTTTAAGATCAAATGAGTGACAGAGTACAGGCAGCGCAGAGCTCACTGATTAAATGAGTTGTCTGTTGGCTATCCAGTTGCCACTGTTAAAATAAAAAAGGACCTAATTTGGGTTTATGGCTGGTGGAAACAATCCAAGTCCCTCTGGACTTTTCCATTTAATTCATTTTAATCCCCGGGATGTTCCTACAGTGCCTTGGGGAAGTATGTATAACCTTTGGATGTTTGTACATTTGTTTCAACCACTACCTTTAATGTATTTTATTGCTATGAATAATTGGGAAGTGTAAAGAAAAGTATCTTGTGAGGCTGGTTGGATTTAGATTTTCCCTTTCAACAGGCCAATTTATCTAATCAGTATGCTTGGATTGGATTGTTTCCATCCTAGCTCTAGTTTTAGGTGGAGGGCTGTTTTGCCTCCACCCCACCCTGCAGCAGGTTTCCTTCCAAAGCTGCCATTAATATAGCTGCATCCATCTGCTTTTACTGAAGGACAAAATCCCTGCAGCACGATGCTGCTATCTGTTTTTATTTATTTTTTTTCTTCCCTTTTTTAAAAATCTTTTTTTCTTTTCAGTCTTCCTTAAAGAGGTATTACAGAGTTTTCTAATGATGCTGCCACCTGTGGCCAAAACACAGAACTGCAGCACTGGTAGCAGTTTGTGCCTGAGTCGAGCTGGATCCAGTTTGCTTCCAAGTATCCATAAAATCCATCATGAATGTAATGCTTTGATTGTTTGCAAGGTCAAAGCCATTTAACATTTGCATTCTTGACGTCACACCCGTAGAACAGTGTGGAAACTTCTGACCTGAAGTAGTTTCAGGAAAATAGGCAACAGGCTGAAGGGCAGATTAGACTTCTGCGACTGCACACATCAAATGTGGCTTGGGTCTGGTCGCGAACCAGTTTTGCTGGTATTTTTCTGCACCGTCGGTCTGGAATTTCTAGGGACGCACAGCAGTTTCCCGCCAAGGCGCAAGACGGAGTCTTTTGGTGAACTTAGGAGAACTTTGGTGGATGGTCACAAGAACTTTGGCGGCGCCAGCGGGAGTGTTTATCTTCCAAAACAACAATGGCGCATCTGCAAGATATGACAAGGATGGTTCTAGAGTTGCTAGACATCGAAGAGGAACAGGTTCTGTTAATGGAGGTGGCAAAAAGACAAAGGAGGACACGTAGGTTGTCCATTGTAGTTGTTTCTTGGATTCTAAAAATGGCACGCCCCGGCACCGAATCGAGAAGGACGACTACACAGACAACTGGAAAGGCATACCAAGGACCAATCACAGCTGGTTTTTGTCTGCACGCTTCTGCTTAAGGTCTGCGTGGGTTTGCGACCGTCCGACGCATAGTCATGATTTTTTTGAGGTGCCAGACAACGGTTGCAGAACCTCTGCGTGGGGACGGTGGTCGCTCACAAAGACAGGTTTCACTGTTGAAGTAGCTCTGTGTCAGAAGCATAAATCCCATTAAATGGGGTTTAAGTCGTAAAGGGTCAAATAAAAAGGCTATTTTAAAGATATTTTATATTTTTCAATAAAAACTTGCATAATGATATGTAGGCTGAAAGTTATCCTCTGGTAATATTCTCTGTTGCTCCTCCAGAGTTACTCCTGCTCCTCTGGTAGGTCTTGATAGGTTTGCAGTACTGCCTTCCTCTTTTTTCAGATCAAGGGTTTGACAGTGTGCTGCTAATACAAAAAAAAGAAACCACATTTTAAAAATTCTAATTCCTTAAGATGATAGCATTTTTTTCCCAATCCACAACTACAGTTTTGTGAACAGGTTAAAAGATTTCCTTAAAAAAAGTCTTTAGAACCTATCCCCCTTTGACTTAAGGTTATCTTAACAAAGAAAATCACCACTCTGTGGAAAAAAGAAGAAAGTTAAACAAAAGTCCTTATTTTCCTCTTTAAAGCTGCAAGATGAGTAACAGTCACTCAGTTGAGCTGCAGACGTGTGCTGGAATAGTGCCAGGTTGTTATACCAGTTAATTATGTTTATGTAAAGGAAATGGTGAACAAATCATCCGCTTCCACACAACTGATTACGATTGTAAATTTTGTTAGCAGCATGAGAGCAGGAGTTTCTTTGGATGTCAAAATACCGCTGCCTGAATCGGTCTGTCTTCTCTTCCCACTTCCTTCCAGACCTGTCTACAGGAACTGAGGAAGCAGTTTCCAGATAGCCACAGAGTGAAGCGATTAACGGGCATGAGGTTGGAAGCTCTGGAAAGGTAAGCATGGGGTAGCAAAGAGAGGGAGGGAGGCTGATATATTGGGAGATGAGGGAAGAAAAAGTGTTTGCAGGACCTAAATGGAACAGCGACTGGGGCGTGTTTATGTATATTACGGTGTGTTTATATTGGATTACCCAGCGTTCGTTGTGGAGAAAAGGGGAATGGAGAGCAGAGATGCAGCCCTGAGTGCTCCTGTGGGCCTTTAGCTTGTGTCAGGGATTCCCAGGAAGGAAGTGGTTGGATCCTGCTGTTACTCCAGGGGTCTCTGTCGTCTCTGGTTTCTATGCTATTCTCTCCTTGTTTCGTTGCTTCTCACTGCGTTTCTTTCTTCCTTCTCTCTATTTTTATACTTTACTGTGTTGTCTCTCTGCCATAAGGTTTTAACCCTGTAAAGGTTGACATGTTGCCACAGTCAGAATAAGGACCTGGACGTAGAAAACTAAATAAGTTATCTTCGTCTGCCCCGAGCCACAGTATGGATACCTCAATTTGTTTATTACTCTGCGAGGATCACCTCTGCTGGTTTATTGGTTATGTCAGTTTATGTGATAATTGAGAGAGATTGCTTCGGCACTGTCAGATTAAATACACTGCACAGTAGGATCTAATTGGCTGCAGACACAGCTACACTTGAATGACACAACTTCAAACAGTACAGCCCTTCCCCTTTGACTGGAGCGCACACACACACACACACAAACACACACTTGGTTCTTAAATAAATAAAGCAAATCAAAGTGGCTCGTGAGTGGTTGCCTGGTGCCATCTGAAATCTCCCAAAGTGTGGCTGAGTAATAAAGTGAATGTGAGGGAAGCATCAGTGCTGGAAATGGGGCTGTGCCTTGCTAATGGGAACCAGAGTTGCCTCTGTGTGTTGCAGACTGTTGGCGGGATGCTTTCTGATCGCAGAGCTACGGCCCCCACCTTAACACTAAACACGATCCTAGAATCACAACTCTGTGCCCTAAGGGACATAAATTTACCAGAAAAACATAACTTATAAAAATAAATTTTGCTGTGCCTAGCAAAAGTGTATTTTTTTGCATTTAAAAGCTAAAAACAGAAGTTTAATTGTCAGGATTTTAACTAATCAAACAAAAGAAATGGTGTGTGACTTTTTGAAAGCGGATAATGTTTTTTTAGAATATTGTACAAATACAAATTAGAAAAGGTAAGAAAACATTCATATATAAACATCATGAGCTGGATACATCTGAATAAAAAATTGACAGATTTGTATTTATTTTTTAAGCCCATAACGAATATGTTGACATCAGTCTAACTGATCCTTGATATGTGCTACCATCATTTTTGGTAGGGATGTATCGATCCAATGCTTGGATTAGACTAATTAGCTGGATTAATAGAATAGCAGTGATCCCATCCACGGCACTTTACATGGGATGTTTTTTTCCTTTCCCTTTGCTGTTTAGTTGTTAATAAACAATATAAAGTCTCTTTATATCTGTGTTAATTTGTTGCCTTTTTAAACGAAGGCTAAAGCCTTCATTCACATGGCGAGATGCGATTAATTCATTCAACAGTTGTTTCCGATATCAGCCGATACGCTCAGCCGAGGGATTAGGATTGGATTTTATCAGGGAAAAAAAACTTTTAAAAACTCTTATTTTTAGTCTGATTCTTGGAGCCAATATTTCTTTTTAATGTGAAAACACAGCCGTGTCCTCAGATGTGCATTAAAGAACATGTGTATTTATGAATTGGATACCGATTTGTTTACATTTTTTTTATAACACTGTCAGGTCTTATAAAGTCACACCTTTAATGTACCAAAGTTTTATTAAAAAAATAACAATTCCCATGAAAAAACTGAACAGCCCATGAGGTAATTCTCTCAAATATAAAATAAGAAACGGACACATTTTGTTTTCACCTTTCTTGTGGTAAATAAGATTTCATGTTTTCATATAAAAAATATCAGCCGAATCACCAAAAGTAAGGAAATCAATTGGTCGGTCTCACCTAATTTGTTACCCATCTTAAGCTTCAAAACAAGTGGAAAAATGCAAGTTAAACACATTAGGGTAGCATTTAGATGTTTAATGCTAAATTAATCTTAAAATGGTTTGATCTGTTCCGATTGTGTTCATATTGTGAGCTGTGGGACAAACAAAACAAACACCATGGTTTCTCTGAAGCTTTGCTTTAATCAGCATCCTGCCCTGCTGTGTATACAGAGTTGATTACCTTTAAATTCAGCTGATTTCCCACCATGTGGGATAGCGATTGGCTACAGAGCTCATTTCTATCTGTTTCTGTTTGTCTACAAAGGTACGACGATGCCAACAAACATTATGATGCTATTCTCCAAGAGGACCCCACCAACACGGTAGGACTGAGAGGAAGTATGTCTGCTTAGCTTCAGTAACGTGGCCTTTCTTTTCTAAAGGGCTTTAAATCTGTCTGTGTTAGCAGTAGGAGTTCACTAAGTCTTTGGCCTCTCTGCTCTCAATCATGGTTCTGATCAGCGTATCACACTCACACGACTGAAGACTGATTAGGGCACCAGGCTGGGTCACTGGGAGGTGATTCATGAACCTGGTCAATGTTGGATATGTTTGGAAGTAAAATGCTAATATAGGCCCGGTCTTTGAAGGCGGTGATTTATCTAATCTTTTAGTCCCAAGTTCCTGATCCGCCTTCTCATTTGTTTCCTATTGGCGTCACATTAGACGTCTGGTTTGGGGGAAGCTGCTAACAGAATTTATGCAGAGAGCTCCTGAACTTTTTATCCTCTGCTTTCAGTTTGCAGTTCATTACTGGAAAGACTTGCATGTTTGGATTAGGGCTGAAAAAATTAATCAGATTAAACGATTTATTAGAATATTCAACTAATTTAGTAACCAATTAATCCTTAACTGGAGTATAGAGACTCTAAAAAATGCCTTTAGCCGACAGAGCGACCCAATCAGAGCAGTAATTATACTGATTGTAAAAAAAAAAAAAAAAAAAAAAGATAACATAATAACGTAAAAAAAAAACTGTTTTCGTCTGTCACTATGCTCTATCCAAAGCTCCACAAGTGGAAATGTTTTAGTTTCAACTGGTTTGATTCTGTGAAAAATCTTTCTTAAGGAACCTTTTGACATTGTATTATTAATCGATTAATCAAACAGTTGACAGATTAATTGATTACCAACATTAGCTGCAACCCTAGTTTAGATATCGGTCTTCATGCCCACATGGCTTTCCCTAAAGACGGTGTACATGCTGGTGATGCTCCCTATTAGTCTTTGGGGCTTAGGGAGGGATTTATTTTAAAGGTTTTAAAAAAGTAGTGTTGATTGTTTCCCCTTTCTGCCATATCCCTCCCAGTTTACAGATTTCTGAGACAATACGGATACATTAGCATATAAGTCTGGTGTACAATGACAAAAAAAATACTATACTTACAAAATGATAAAAATAGAATAGACAGTTTACTTTGCTATCGATGTATCTTTAAAATGCTGTCTTACTCTTCTGTTTTACTAAAAAGACTGATTTCACTTATTTTTTTCTGACTGGTTCAGGTTTTCTGTTTCCCTTTATATTACGAAATATACGAAATTTATACTATGAAAAATCCTGTGACCTGTAGTCCTGAAACGGATTCACTTTACATAATTTTTACTGTCTCAACTGTATTGGTTTCCAACAATTCCAATTTGGCTGTAACATTAAAATCTGATAAATTACCTCATCATTCAGCTTCATAACACATCTGCAATAGAAATAAACAAACATTACCTTTTTTAATATGTGGCCTAAAACTGTACATGTTGACGAATATAGGGTTTGATTACACACGTGTATTTAAAGTAAATCACATTTTTCAGATATGTGATTACACACGAGAGCGGTACAAAGGGCTGCTCTGATAGTGAGCTGAGAAGGTTTGCCTGGAGTAAGCCTTGATTTCAAAACACATTTACCCACTAGAGCCACAGGACTTCAGGCCCACAGATCTTCCTTCATAAATTCTCTCTCATAGTTCCTCCATTTTTATTTAGTCATAGATGTAACTGTTTGCTTGTGTTTTCATAATTCTAGTTTTTATCCATTTCCTTATATTTTTTCATTTAAATTTAAGTTCTGAACTTTCATGTAATGGACAGTCTTGGAGATGCTGTATTTTTTTAATTATCTGTTCAAATTAGGTGACTAAAAAATGTCAGCGCATTTCATCAGATCAAAGTCGGGATATTCGATAAAGTTTTGTTTTTATTGATCTGGAGTTAAATTAACAGCTAATTTTCTACATATTAGTTCATCAACAAAAAGTTCTGTTGGTGTCGTATCAGCAATTGTTACAGTTTAGCTTAGAAAGATTACTACCCTTGGTAAATTTCACTATCATAATGGCAATAAAAGCTTTTCATCTACTGTTATAAAGGTTGTGATGAGTGATAACGAGGACGTGAAAACAAATTGGTTAAAAATCTAAAATAAATTGAATAAATGAGGAAAATGTTGAGAAATGGCCTTAAGGTAAAGTTTGCATTTAAAGGATGTAAGAAAATGTCTGGTTAAATATTCATCCCTGATAATGTCTAGTTGTTTTACATGGTTCCATCCTATAACTCTGCTTGATTATTCTTTTAGAGTGCACTAAATTGGAGTTTTTAATTCAAACGGAGGGTTTTGATCTTTACTTTTTCACCCCTGACCGTTTTTCATGTTCTTTATTTATGCCATTATAAAGAACAAACCCATACTAATGTTTTTTATTCTGTCTTTTTTTTTTTTTTTTTGGGACCACAAAAAAACTTTCTGCAGTAAACGTGGTATAATGCAGCTCTGCATCCATCCAGTGATTTGACAGTGGGAGAAGTCATTTTAGTGACTCCCATGGCACCGCACCTAAATACTGCAGGGACTCCCTCGGAAAGGGAACGGTCCATTTCCTGAACGTTGCACGCTTTAAGCCTGCCACCCTTTTAGGCTTAAGCTATCAGTAACATCTGCAATGAATGGAACAAAACGCACAAATATGCACACTGGGCCTGGGATGTTAACTTTCAACCTTTTTTTCCCACCGTAGTTTTTCCCCAGCATTGATATTGATGGTGTTTGGTGTGAAGAAGGAATGAGGTAATTCGGGCCACCTGTCTTGGGATGGGGACGGTCTCCTCCTTTGTAGTGTTCGCCACATAGCACAAGGTTTTGCCGGAGATGGGTCTGAAAAAATGGCGGAAAACTGGCAGCTACTAGGAAGGCTTGCAAGACATCCCAGCATGTGAAGCAGAGATTGGAAAGAGAGCTGTCGTAATTACAGACTGTGGAATAGATGTGGTGCACATTAACCAAAATTGTTGAATCAACAAAAATTGCTTAGGATTTTTTTTTTTTCTGCCAAGCAGCTTTTCCAAAAAAATTTCAGTGTCTGAGAGCTTCCACAGCTCACAACTCTCCAATGCCCACATCAGTGCGCCGGCCAAATTTTTGTCTCTTTGTTTTACCTTTTTTGAAAGAGGATTTTGACCACAGCATTTGCCCACAAGAAAATGGCAGATTAGTATTTTAACAATGAGTGAAACCACAGCTGATACTAATGTTACATTTCACTACATTCATGGCATTTCTTCAATCACGACTAACGTCACATGACTGCTGAGGTTTATCCACACATGACTGGAATGAGATTCATGGCATGACAAACATGTCACTTTGAAACTTGAAATCAAATCCTTGGCTCATAGTTTGGAAGGCCGTTTTTGTTTGATGAAGATGTTCTTCTTCCCTTGTGTCCTGTTCTTTCTTTTGGAGGCTAAAATATTGCCTGTCAGATGAGGTTGCAGTCTCTCAGCAGGTCTCTATCCCATATTGATGGATAAGTGGATTTTGTTTGATGGCAGTGTCAGACGAGGCCCAAATTTACAACCCCCTAGACATGACTCATACACGCTCCCCCCAATGGTTTCAGTTATTACTAAGGGAGAGGAAGCCCCACTCAATCAAGTGCCAGTCCATAAATAAAATAGGGTTGTGGCAGGGCAAGGCAGGGCTAATGGAGCAGCAACCTCCTGTTAAGCTTTTTTAGTATCGAAAGAAGCAGACGAGGGAGAAGCTGGATAGGGAAGAGGCAACTACTTGGAAAAGTCAGAGCAGTAGGAGTAATTCTTCCTAATGCAGATTGATGAGACTGTAATCCACCTTAAGGTCAGTTCAGCTTCAAAACGAAGTGGAAAGCATTTTCAGCTGATGCGAGTCGGGCCTGTGCAGCTGGAGAAGCGTGCTGCGCCGGCAGGAAGACGGGCGTTGGGGTTTGGGGGAGTGTGCCATTTTCCCCACTTGGTAAGAGGATGAGTCACCACTATATCTCAGCCACTGAGCTCATTTCAGCTACCAAACAATGACTGATACTGTGTACCCATCTCCTGCTGGACATTGGCACTAAACCTTTTCCAATTAGGGCTTCCATAGATGAATATTCACCCTGCTCTCACATTAATTGTGTTAAAAAAATATATCTCTTTAAATTCTCTGTTTTTGACTGCTGCTAAGAAGCCTCGTCTTCCAGGAAATCTAATCTCAAAGTTTAGGTTTAAGAGATGCCTTTACTTGCACTACGAGATGTAACTCTGAAGCTCACAGCAACACTTAAACAGATACGTTAATCCTGTTTACTCTCTCCTCTATAGGCAGTGAGGAAGCGCAAGATTTCTATACTGAGAGCCCAGGGGAAGAGCACTGAAGCCATAAGGGAACTCAATGAGTATCTGGAGCAGTGAGTGTTCAGCCATCCTTCCTCTTCATCTCCATTAGCTTTTATTAAGAAAGGAATCTGCTATCAATAAAGACGGCAAATCCCCACTTTGATTATTGCAGTTTGGTTGGTATTAGCATAATTACATTTGGTAAGTAGAATAAGTTCACTATGTTAGAAAAGAGGTAATGTAATTGTGTTTTCTGTTTGCAGGTTCGTTGGTGATCAAGAAGCGTGGCACGAGTTATCAGAGCTCTACATTAATGAACATGAGTAAGTATATATTTTTGGGGCTTAAAAGAATTTATGCTTTTAGGTATTAATGTTTAATAATCTTGTAAAATACAACTGTTAACAAGCTTTAAAAATAACATGTAGTTTAGCATAAGAAAAAGTTATTAATAAAGCCATATTCGATTTGATTAATTAAAGCTGATCATACACTGTACGATTTTTCTTTTTTTTTTTTCTTTTCCGACTTTTCAGTCGTGCGAGAATTTTTCAATCAGGCTGACTTTCAGCCTGATGGTCCGTCGTGTGGTGTACAGACGAAAACACAGAAGCATGGCGGGGGGTATGGTTGAAATGGAGTTCTTTCTGTGAAATTGACAGACTGTAGTAGCCACGTTTGCTCAGCCATGTCTTTGTCCAAATACGCTGTCGCCTTTTCTTTTTAGGGCTTTCAGCACCAAATTGCACAAATGGCAGCGTGTTTCACTCTAGTGAGCTTCATATTCCTCTTTACTTGTTTGGCCTCTGGACAGACGAGTCCAAGTAGCTCCATCTCGCTGCGAAGCTGAGGCAGACATGGTTTTTAGACGTACAGTGTGAGCAGGTAGATCGCATCAGAGCGTTGAGCCGCATTGGGTGAGGACATAAATCGTGAGCTGTGAACTCGCATTGTACGACCAATCCCTGCAGTTTCATCCTACAGTGTGAGCTGTAGCTGCGTGCAACAATTATAAAAACCTTACAGTGCGTGCCCGGCTTAAAGAGGCTTTACAGAGTTTTCTAATGATACTACCACCTGTGGTCAAAACACAAAACTGCAGCATTCTTCTACTCTTTTTTTTGTAGCTTGCACTCATACTTAACAATTTTATTTTTTTTTTTATTTTTTTTTTACTTTTTTTCACTTTACACGGAGTAGCCATGTGTGTCTGAGTTGAGCTGGATCCCAGTCGCTTCACAGTATCCATAAAATCCATAAAATTAGGGGGAGTGGCGGCCTAGTGGTTAGGGCATAGAGCTTGGAATACTCAGGTTGTGAGTACGAAACTCACTCCCGCAGACTGCCACTTTGGGTCCCTGAACAAAGACCTTTAACCCCACCCTGCTCCCCAGGCCCCGCAAAATGGCAGCCAACTGCTGCCCAAGATGATGGGTTAAATGCAGGGAGTGGATTTCGTTGCTTTGCACTTGTGAAAGCTTGTTGGCTTGTTGGCTAGGTCAGATCTATTTAACATGAACACGCTTGACGTCACAGACAGAATTTACACCCAGAAGTAAATTTAAGAAAATAGTCTACAGGCTTATAGATGTATCGGCGTGACGTACTGATGTGTCCGTCTGTTCATCAAACAATGTTTTAGTCATAAAGAGTCAAATAGAACGGTTATATTACATTTTTTTTTTTTTGTAAAAACTTACAGAATGTCTCTAAGCTTCTAAGATTAAAAAAGGTTCAGGTCTACCTCATTCAAGCATTCATTCAGGTGAGCAGATGTGACTTCATGGCCCAGTTTTACTAAAGAAGTTGCACATTTAGTTACTTTACACCCTCCAACTGCAGTGTATTTTAATGGGCTTGTCTGTCATAAAAACTAACGTGAACATCATAATGCGGTGGGGATGCTTTCCTTTAGGACAGACTAGGCGGTTGGTTTGAGTTGATAAAATAGCAGATGGATGGAAGTAGAGGTAATAGCTAAAATAAAATCTGTTAGAGGCTCTAGAATACTTTATAGTTTGAATGAGGTTTACTTCCCAGTAGAATACCAATAGCCCCTATAGCCAAAGCTAACAAAAATAACATTTATGTTATAATGCCTCGATTATTCCAGGACACCATTGCAATTTCTGAAGGAATACTTAAATGGATCGTCACAGGCACCTTTTATCTGATCTTGTTGGGTTTAGGTATTTAGAATAGAAAAGGTGAGGCTTTCAGACTAACGGTGAAAATTTGGCACAGAAGTCCTTTAATAGACTTGCAGCTCTTAAAGAATGACACCACACCTATCTGCTTTTATTGTGAAAACCAGGCGGAATTCTTTTCTTTCTCCTTGACAAGTTTCTTTTATTCGTCACATAGCATTTATTGGAGTTTTGTAGTTATGCGACAAAAAGTGTAAAAGCTGAAGCAGTTAGAATATTTTTCTAAGGCACTGTGGGAGTCTACGTCTGTGTGAAGCCGTTATATGGTTCTTTCAACAAAATGAACATGTCACCTAAACATTAGATGTGATTAGATCTCTTGAGCGCTTTTGGATGACCACAATAGAGGAGACTAAGATGCATAACTCAGCCAAAGGTCTGAATAGAGTCTTGTCCCTGTTTGTCACATAAGAGTAGTCTGATAGGATTTCAGTCTTAAGCCTCTTCACACTCCCTGACCTCCTACTGATGAATATATGCAAGTGGTTGAGATGAATTTCCGGATCAACAAAAGCATAGCTACAAAAACATGAAATTATTGGTGTCAGTTTTGTTGTATCTGAGAGCCTTTTAAGGTTCAGAGGTCAGCGAAGCAGCGGCTGCAGCTGTTAATATGTCCTTTTTAAAGCCCGTTTGTGTAGACTCTTGTCTCTGCGGTTGCTCTGGTACGAAGGTAGCGGCAAGAGGAATGTGTTGCACAGTCGGACGGCTACTTATTGGATATTTGCTGCTTTTGTCTGGGAGGCTTCATGGCTGTAGTAGCCAGAGGAAATCCAAGGGTGAGACTATTATCTCCCGGCTAATCCCAACACTTCTAATATCACACCATTCACTCCCACAGCCCCTTATCTACAGGCGTGTCAATTTCTTTTCATTCTTTTCTTTATTTTGGGTTACAAACTCCCTGTTTCCCCTCCTCCTCCTCTTCCGGGCAGCCGGGCGTTATCACCAGGGTTTTCCAGAGGGGTAAAGCTGGAGAACTCTTGCTGTGAGATTCCCAGGAGAAGGTGTTGCTCCTCCTCCCTTCTCCCAGCCAGAGAAAACACAGGTTATTTTTCAATCGTGCTTGAGAAATAAACTATCATACCCTCTGTGTGCAACACCCTGGGAGCTAATAATAACCAAAGCGATGTGTGTCTGCTTTGTTGCTGTAAGAGAAGCACCAACTCTTGGTATCTAAATAATAATTTCCAAGCTGTTAAACAATCATTATTCCAGCGATGTTGTGACTGGGGATTCGGTTATCGGCAGTAATTGCTCCAAAGCTCTCCATCATTCTGGTGCTGGTTTGAATTCGACCTAAAATATTTAACTGGTAACCCAAAATTGAATTTTAAATAGTAACAATTTTTACTCAGACATACTTTTCCGAGTCTAAATCAATTTCTGTCTTCTCTGCAGCCGGAGTGTGGTGTTAGAGAGGAAAGCAACTGCTGGTGGTTTTGCTAACCTCCAAAGCAAACAATAAAATTTCTGTAGTCTTGCATAGCGGCTACAACCCTGCTTAAGAAGCCTGGTTAGGAGTTAGTTTAGGGACCTCATTTAGGGAGCAGTTTGGTAATGTTAGAGTTTAGATGGCTTAGAGGAGGAGTACAGGGGGTTAGGGTTCTGGATGTGGTACAAGACTCTGCTTGATGGCTGACGGGGTGAGCTGTGATGCAAGCCACGGCCTCTACACAAGCACATCTGAAAGTCTTTATGGAAAGGAAGTGGTAATTGTAAGCAGCCCCTCAACCCTTCAAGCCCTCTGATCTCCCCTTCCACTCAACTCCTTCCCAATGTTTATTTCTCTCTGTGTCCCAACGTTCCCCTCCTGGCTGCACTGCTAATCTTTCAACTGGTTACAATGGAAGATGTTAAGTAGGCTGATAAGTTCTCCATGTTCTCGCATTGAACATTTGAGTCACGGTTCTCTTCACTTCCCAGCTTTTGCCTTGTTCTTCGAAAATGCTGGAAGGTATTTGATAGAAGATATGTTTGTGAAATGTTCTTTGAAGTTCTCTTAGGCAGCTTATGAAAAAAGGAAGTTGGTGGGGGGAGAATATTGTTGAATGTGTTGAAATTGGACTTAATTTCTTTTTAAATGCATGCATAGAAAAGCTGTGTTGTCTTTTTCTTTTTGGTGCTACATTGTAATTTCTGCTTTCTTGTATTTTGTTTGCTGCACTGGAGTATATGCCTTTAGTTCATCGTGTAATGCTATCCTTAGGGATGCATTTTCGGCTTTATTGACTGTTTACAATTCATGGTTTTGTACAAGCATTGACCTGCTGACAACTATCAAATGGAATCAGGAACCTCTCCAATAATAACTTCAAGCCAACCTGTTAGCAGTCAACTATTTCTCACCGGACCAGAAGAGGGTTCATGTGGGAGACGTTGTGTTCGATTTCAGAGGCTGCATCCTCCAAGGACCCGGTCTATCTGGACTGGGTCCTTTGAGGTCTTTGAAAATAAGGAGGCTGGAAGAGGTCCAACCTTCCTCTTCTTTCACCACCCATACACTCTCTTTAGGCAAAGAATGGATGCTGAACTTCTCACTACTGTTCCAGGTGCTAATAACATTCGAGCAGCTTCATCAGCAGTACCGTCATCACAAATATTAGGGATGCACGATATTGGGATTTTGGCCGATATCCGATATGCCGATATTTTAAAACTCATGTAGCCGATAACCGATATCGATACTGATGTTAAAGCTGGACAAAAATTAGTAGTCATTGAAAATAGCAGTTTTGTTTTCCATTTCTGACACTTTGAAAAATAATATACTCAAATATATTTTCATATGCTGATATCAAATTGATTTTTAAAAACGCGGTATCGATCTATTTTACTTTCAAAATCTCGTGAAATTTCATCGTTTGTTACAAACTCTCGTGATATTTTGCAAATTCTTGTGAGATTTTGTTAGTAAAATAGATCGATACCGCGTCAATATATCAACATATTAAAATATGGCAAAATTTCATGAATTTTCGGGGGATTTAGTAGCATAACGGTGACATATAGCAATATTTCATTAGTAAAAGAGATTGATATGGTGTTTTTAAATGGCAATGTATCAGCATATGAAGATATTGTGATATTTTAATGTATAAGTCTGTAAAAAAAGAAGTTTTTGAGGAAGAGAAGTAGTATTTTTTTTTTTTTAGACTTTAGAATCTCAGAAGCTGATCAAATATCGGTGGGGAAATGTCCGATATTCAGTTTTAAGTCCGATACCGATAGGGGGCCGATTATATCGTGCATCCCTACCAAATATCATAATTATGGTCCCCACAATGCAGAGATATTGTAATCTGTGCTCTGATATTTGTACAGGGACAAACTTTCAATAAACTAAAGATTATACACGACATATTCGACTCAATAACCATTAAAAATACTATTGTCATTAATTTCAGGTGAAACTATTCACATACTTGTCGCAGTAAGCTTGACGCAGACATTTTATGCTCAGTTTTGAGCGTGGTCTTCGCTATATACGCTGTGGGTCTAGATGCGGCCATGACGGTGAGGAAGTAGGGGCAAGTTTGTCCGACAACGGACCGCAATTGCAGTCTTAAAAACAAAACAAGCCCACCTTCTGTCTGTGGCACTGTCTGCGGTCACCTACAATTTGGGAGAGGTGCAGCAGAGTGTCTGCGGAGGGGGCAGGGACGTCTTTCAGTTCGCTGCGACACCTACGCAGACAACCTAGTTTCGAAGTATAAATCAGCCTTTATGCGTCAACTCTTTAGGTCACAAAGTCTGCGGTGTGCTTTTAAAAGAGGTTTAAACACTAAACGGGCATATACATTAAAAAGGATCCAGAGTCAATGTCATCAAGGAAGAGTAGAGCAGCCCGGTAGATGGATGGAAAAGGTTTAAATCTCTAAACTTGCTGGTGAATTTTAAGATGCTGAGTGAACTAAGGGATGACTCATCCTGAGCTGTATCCATTAACTTACCGCCTGCTTTGTCATTCCCACAGCTATGGAAAAGCTGCGTTTTGTCTGGAGGAGCTGATGATGACCAATCCTCACAATCACTTGTACTGCGAGCAGTACGCTGAGGTGAGTTCATTGTTAAACAGACACATTGCTTTTGTTTGTAAGGTTCTGTTTAAGCTTACATAAGAATAAAAAGAAATTGTAGTTGGAAATTAGAAATAGGAAAGTGGAGGGGAGGGTCTTTTAAAAAATTCACGAAAATTCTCCAATATACCTTTAAATTAGACATTTTTTTTCCTCCATTTTCTTTTATGTTACTCTTGCCAGATATGCTTTAAACCTACTTTTTGTGCGTTTTGCTCAGGAATTTTATTGGTGAAAATTGTCTACTTTCCTGTGAGGTTATTTTTCTAAACACAGAAACATCTAGAGCAAAAAGCCAGAACTAGTCTATACTTAAAAACTAGTATAATTGGGGGAGGATGTCTGTGTCCCCCCAAGGCATCTTTAAATCTACCTTGGTCATGGCTTCTCTCAGACTTGTAGTAAGCTTCAATCAAATTAATCTGGATATCTACTAATTAAAAACACTAAAATAGTTACTGCAACTGAGATATCCACTGCTTATAACTTTCTCAAACTAACTTAAATTCAAAGTCTTTAACTGACCCTTTCACAGAAAGTTAAATCTGAATGCTGCCTTGGTTAAAGGGTGGGACCAATGAATGTCACAGGGAATATACAGTAGAATTATAAAATAAGATATTTACTCAAGGTATCCATGTACTGGTTGTTAGGATGTCATGCTGTCATTGCTTGAGTTCCTCTTTTGGCAATGCAATGTGTTGTCTCTCACAGGTGAAGTATACACAAGGGGGGATGGAAAACCTGGAGCTTGCCAGAAAGTATTTTGCCCAGGCACTGAGGTTAAACAACCGGAACATGAGGGCCTTGTTTGGTCTCTATATGGTGAGTACTGCCTTACTTTAAAGAATAAAGCAACATGAGAAAAGAAAAAAAAAGGGGGGGAAAAGGAACTGCAGAACCATTTTTGTAACCCTGCGGTTTGTCAAGGTTAGGGTTGGCCACAGTGAGAGTTAAGTAAGACCTTCTGTGTGTTTTTGTGGGGGGAAACAAAAGGGGCTCTCAGACAGGTCAGCTCACTGCTGACTCAGAGAACGAACCCCGGCATTGGAAAAGTCTCCTACTTTGCAGGGCTTTATTTGACCAATGCAATGTTCTATTTACATAAAAGTACTGACAGTGTAAAACAGAAATATCAGCAACAACAGTCCAACCCCAGCAGGTATTTTGTCAGAGGCAAATTGTCCAGTCAGGTGCTGATTTGATTGCTGCCATCCCTCTGCAGGTTTGTTTAAACAGGACATTGTCAGCTATTGCCAGGGAAATGCATGTAAGGGAGACATGACATAAAAACACAAACAAAGCAGTGCTGGGAATGTAAGGTGCTGAGGGAAGTGTGTGTCTCACACAAAGCTCTAGTGGTTTTTCACCTCTCTGCTCTGGGATTTCTCATGAAGTCCAGTCACCACATAGAGGCTCATACCTTGTGAAGCCTCACAGAGGTGGTAGCAGTAAGTCTATGAGGAGAAGGACAGATAAGCAAGCGAGTCAGTGTAATGATGCACAGTAATGCAGCAGTCATTGCTTTATACAGGACTTATGGGCCTTATTGGATAATTTGTTAGAAATGTAAAGTATTTCTACAAACATTTGTCATGAAACAGGTCGTCCTCCAGTGCTCTGTGTGGTACCATCATTGGATGCCACCTGTCCAATCAGTCTCATCCTGAAATTTTCTTGCTCCTAAATATTGAGTTAGGGGAGTGGCGGCCAATTGGTTAGGGAATAGAGCTTGGAATCCTGAGGTTCTGAGTTTGAGTCCCACAGACTGCCACTCTGGGTCTCTGAGCAAGACCCTTAACTCTACCCTGCTTCCCGGGTGCCTCACAATGGCAGCCAACCACTCCCCAAGGGGATGGTTTAAATGCAGAGGTAAATTTCTCCAATGTGAGATCAATAAAATTCATTTTTTATTATTTCAGTCAACCTATTGTGAAAATATAGCAAAGTGGAGCTATGGATTAAAACCAAATCAGCCACCATGGCTATCTGAAAAGAGTAGGATCATTTGATGAAAAGGAGCATAGTATTTGGAAACCTATTTCTGCTTAGTCAAGAGCTAGAGGCTTCAAAGATTTCAGATGAGCTCCAGCACAGTGGGTAGAGACCATACAGGAAAGTTTTTCTCTAAGGGGAGCTGCTATATCCAAGCCTGACATCATAGTCTATTACAAAGCATCTAAAGCACTCTGCCACTGGACTCTGAGGCCGCCATCTTGTCTACAGTGAAAGATCGTTCCTCTTTTTTTAGCTATCAAATGGACGAGTTTGGGTTTGGCCTTTGCCAGGAGAAAAGCACTTACCTAACTGTATGTGCATCCATCGATCAGTTGTCCATAACCGTACAGCATTGGGACTGGGCTGGTGCTGATTTTCAGCAGTAGGTGCGGCAGTAGGTGGGATACACCCAAGAGGGATCATCTGCCTATCACAGCAACACGGATACTCGTATCCACGCAAGATTTCAAGTAACCCATTAACCTCACGGTCATGTTTGCTGACTGGGAGGAAGCTGCAGTTCCAAGAGAAAACCCACAATTACACTGGAAGCGGATGAGCAGAGCGCTGGTAGGTTTACACACCCAGGATGTTGTTTGGTATAAGCATCACCCCAAACAACTGCAACCCTGCTGCTCAACTGCACTGTCAAGTAGGAAGTTCAGCAGTTTGGCTATTTATTTCTTTTTTTTAAGGAGTTAGGTGGTAGTTGCAGTGATGAAACTTAGACATTTTGGACGGTTCCATACCAGTCCCCACAGCAGAATCCATAAAGACATGGTTTATAGAGCTTGGTGCGTATTTATTAAACTTCTTAGAATTAGTCCCAAGATCACTCTTAAGAGTCGACTTATGAGCAAAAATAATCAGTTATAAGTTCAACTTAAAAGTTGCTTATCAAGTGTCTCACTTAGCAAAGTGAAAGGCAACATCTTTAGTGTAATACTCACAGCGGGTTACGATGGTACCTGGTGCCGTAAATGGAATTTTAGCTTATGTCACTTCTAGTCCATTGAATTGACCAAAGCTGGAACTGTTTATTGATGGCTGTGATGGCCCAGTGTTATCTCCAGTATAACACAGCCTAAATTTTGCAATAAAGTCTGGTAAACCAATGGAAACCATCCAAAGAAAAAAAAAGTCTCTCGATGTCACCAAAAAAAGTTATTCTCTTATGAGAATTCTTTTTGCCAAAAGATTACAAAAAAATTTTTTTTTTTTTTTGCCATTAACACAGCGGGTTAACAGACGCGTCTATTAATTTTTAATTATTAGACTCCTTTATGAGCGTTGATTGGAGAAGTTCTATCAGTCACATACAGGACTATTTAAAAATCTCAAAATGGGCTTAGAGGAGTTTATGGAAAACATGCTGCAAGTTGATGAATTAGCACCAGCTAGCATTCAGTTATTCATGTTTTTTTCCATGAATTTCTAACACGGCCATGATTACGGGATAATTTTGTGGCTTTGTTTAAGTGACGCATGGTCACTGGTTATTTTTATCCTAAATGACGTTATCAGATGTTATTTTGTTAGAAACTAATGGAAATACTGTCCATGTTCAATTTCGTGTTGGAGCATTATAATGGCTTTTAATAATTCCAGCATGAAGATCTGCTGCATGTGGTTACTTGTGAGATTATGTACCTTAAGTCCACATTATAAATTCTACCTGCTGCATCAAAACAATACCGTCTGATAATGGTGAAGATTTTCAGTCATCCAGGTCATAGTCATTCCAAAAAACGAAATTTAAAAAACAATCCACTGGACTTTGTTTCCGAGTTGGAATATGTTTCGCCTCCCATCCAGGAAGCTTTTTCAATTCCAAATGTAAGGAATAGCGTTGAGTTCAGGGTTTTAAACAGTAGCCCGACAAAACCTTGTTTTTGTTTTGAAAACATGCAAAATTTTAACGGACAAAGGGTTCACCCCTTTGGAATGGGGTAGTTTGGCTTCTTTCGTTAGCCAATTATGGGGCATTGCAGACTCTATAAAACCTTGAATTCAACGCTGTTCCTGATATTTTGAATTAAAAAAAGCTTCCTGGATGGGAATCAAAACGTCTCCAAACTTGGTCCAAATCCACCTAGTCCAGTGGATTTTTTTTTACATTTTCTTTTCTTGGATCCCTTCTGATCAGCTGTGTGTTGTCAAAGCCGAAGCGTCTTTTGCTCGCTGAACGTTGGTGGACGTCTCTCTCCCCTCCATGCAATCCTCTTTTGGCACCTCTAACCCACCTAAGACACATCAGAGGTCTCTTAAATGCTGAATAAGTTGGAGGGATTTTTAGACTTGAGAAAGTTGATCAATTCTCACATTTGAAAGCAGGAGTAAATTCCGTAAATTGTATTGGTACTCCAATATGCTTAATAAATACAGAGCTTGGCCCCAGCCTCCAAACGGACCTTAATTGGTACTAATGTAGAGACTGCTAGCTACACTTTGTCATCCAACATCCGTGTTAGACCTCACATATACACTTTAGGAAAACTCGCCTTTTTCCTCATCCTCGTTGAAAGCCTTTTCTACCGAATCTTTTGTAGCAAATAGTGAGCAGATTTAATCGAAAACCATTTAGATTAAGAGCCTCAAATTGACATGTGTAAAGACGGTCTTCACTCAGTGACAGCTTCCAGAATTAAGTGTTATAAACAGGGCTGCAAAATGGGGGAAAGAGATTAAATGGTTAATATTGCAGTGAAGTGTTTACCTTTCTTTGGTTCTTAACAAACACAGACCCCATAGTATAATTAATCTATTCGGCTACCAGGAAAAAAATCTTTATTTCAGCATCAAGAAGGTTTTGATAGAAAATGAGTTGCTGGCTGACGTCTTATTTATCGGAAGTGAAACAACTTGGATGTAGATAAAGAGATTGGGTAATATTGCCTTATTGTGATGATTATGCATTTATAATAAGTCGTTGCTGCCCTGGTTATTGGAACAGATTGTTAGTACTTAAATAAGTTGTCTTAATTAATTAAAACCTAAAATGGATTTTAAGAGTCAAACCCACCTCATCGTAGCTGCTCAAGGGTAAAGTCGGTGCATTCTGACATCAGTCGATTTCTTTGTGCATCACTTATTAAATATTCATATCTGAAGTGGGACTTTTTAGCTTTATCTGGGATCTGGTTTAAGATTTTTGTTTTGCAAGCTGCAACATTTGACAGGTGCAGGCAGTTCAGTGAAAGGACAGAAAACTTTCTCCATCCCAAACCCTGTGAGTCAGTGTGACAGTGGACTTGGTAGCACTGACCACAGTTGGGCTGTGGTTCACTTACTGACAACACATGCACGGGGATTCCCCTCCATAATGGTGTCCGCTGTTATTCAGGGATAGCCTTTCAGGGTTGACATCATCCAAACTGAGGTTTGACTGGAGTTGAAACATAGAAACAACAAAAATTCATGCTTAAAAAACAAAAAACAAAACAAAAGTATTTTTTTTTTTAAAGAGGACCAGGTTGATTGGTATGTAGATAAAATTTCAGCACTATAAGAGAGAGCTTTGAAGTGCAGGCTGGGTAAGTCTGCTGGGGTTTGCTGTGTGGAGATGATGGCAGGAACATGGGAAAGACATGGGATTTGTGGTTCAGAGGGGAACTGTCGGGGCAGGAACAGACTGTGATTCACAAGGCACTCCTCTCACTGCATTTTTTTCTTTTTTTTTTTTTTCAAGCATACAAGGTCCTTTCATCACTGAGAATCAATGGTGTTGGAGAAATTAGGCCCTGTTAAGTGACAATTTACGTATGAAGCATTAAAGTGCTCACTTTTTCCTCCCTGTAAATGATTTCCCCTGTGTCATCAGGCCAAGGTCTGTTTTTTCTCTTTATTCTGCCACAATGACTAGTAGAGTGGTGCATGGTAAGCGTGGTTGCACATTCATCTCAATTACGTTTTTATTGCCGCTTCACCAAGTTTTGATACAGGAACACTTCTTCCCCTGTTCTCTCCTTCACTTCTTCTTCATGTTGTCTGTTTTTCTTTCAGTCTGCCAGTCACATTGCTGCCAGTCCTAAAGTCAGCGCCAAGGTGAAGAAGGACAATATTAAATATGCCGCTTGGGCCGCTGCTCAGATTAATAGAGCCTATAAGGTTAGTATCTTACCTGGACATTACCTTTCTTACTTTTTTGTTTTCGGTTGACATATCTGCTACAGGAGAAAACTGCTTTCCACATGACTCTTCAGTCTCCACACAACAAGAACCCGTTTTATTTCAAGTGTCTGGATGTTGTGGATGCACACAAAATCTAAACTGCTTGCCTGAAAACGTAGTTTGCTTTCATGGCTCTCACTATTATACCAGCCTTTGTAGATTTCACTCTGGACCAGAGCATGTCAGCGGAGTGGTGCGTGGAGCAGAGCGGTTTTCAGTTCAAAGGCCGGAGCGAGGATTTTGCTCCGCTCCAGTTCACTCCGACGCGCTCACACGTCAATATAAAATTTGTAAAATAACATTTATTTGATTTAAGCATGATTAAAATGTGGGATAAGATATCATAAAAACACACGTTGACTAAACTTAACAATACTCAGTGGGTTTACATAAAGTGATCTTTGTGGTAAGAGCCTGTTTATGAAAAAGGATGGCATACATGCGTTATATGCTATTATATCATTTGCATTGGGATGCAAAATTACCTTTTTTTTTTTTTTTTTTTTTTTTTTTATATAGTCCAGTAAAATAAATTAATAATAAAATAGGAAATGATGCAGGGCAACATGAATGGAGTGAGGTGTTACTTTCACAGCTGGGAAACGGTGCAATCAGCCAGTTAAATAAGACGATACACATGTATCGGTCAGATAATTAAATCTAACGCCATGCATCCCACGCCCCTGGCATAATTAGATGAAGGAAAAATGTCTTCTCCTAAAAATATAAGTGAGTGTGGAGCGATTTCACCAGAGCGGCAGGAAAATTAAGGTGAGCGCAGAGAGGAATTTCAGCGGAGCGTCCTGGCGCAACTTTAAGCGACGGAGCGAATGACCGAACATCCTCCTGAGCGGGAATTGCGCAGCGCTCCTCTCCGTTCACATGCTCAGGTCTGGACATTTACCGTTTTTAAATCAAGTTAAAGTTAATGTAATGTAGTTAATGCAATTAAATTCAGAGACGAGCTTCTAACATAGCCTTAATCTGAACTCAACAAAAAATTATAAAAAACCTTGTATACAGTCTATCTGATTGTTTTTTTTTTTGGCTATCTAATGATCCTGACTATGATCTGGTCAGATATTGTGATTAAACCAGATCCTAGACCTCTGGACAAGCTTTTCGCCTTTAGTAGTGATGCACCAGCTGTGGTTAAGATGACTGAACGCAGCTCAAACGCAGATTTGTCACACTGATAAACTCAGAATATGGTACACAGATGATCATAACAGGAAAGTTTATTAGTTCATAGATTAAGATCAAAAACATGGTTGTATTGAGTTAGTAGTGATTTACTGAAAGTGAGCTTTGCTGTTTCACAGATGAGGTCAAAAAGTGAATCAGAACTGGTCATTAAAGACTTGAAATATTACAGATATTATAAGTGTTTGCTACTACATGATTTTTCAATGATTAACATACCCTAAGCATTTCCTGTATAACTTGCAAAACTGTTCTAAAAGGATATAATTATGTTAAGCAAATCTGAGTTCTCCAGTTATGATAAAAAGCTTTTACACCACTTGAAATGACTCTGACAGAAAACAGGAGCTTCCTGTATTTTTATGTTTCTGCTCTGTCTTCATTCGCTCAGAGCTGCAGATCATGGCCGAAAAACCAGCTGATTATTCCCACATCATTTAAAGCTAGAGAATGATTTTCCATGAAGGTTTTTATCTGGGTTTTTAAAGCATTATCGAAACAAAGAGGCTGATTTTAGGATACCACTAAAACTTTGCTACATAAAAAGAGCAGCAGCAGGATGTGAGGGTATTATAGAGTGGAGCTTTTTATGTTGAGTCAATTGATGTTAAAAACCAACGATAAAGTAATCAACTTTTAGAAGCAGTGTTTTATTTTATTATCCTATTTTATTTCTGACCATATAAATGGATCTCGATGGCTTATACTAAAGTACTGAGCGGAGACTTCAGATTGACTAACTGATCAGGAACAAAAAGAAAAGCCTTGTTGTGGAAAAATTTGAGGAAAGAATCCAAATCTCCTTGAAAAAGGACCCGATCTGAGAGTGTTGAGAGGAGCTGGTCAGTAGCATAACCAGTAGGGTAGCATATGTTTCCCTGCTTAAATATTTTCTTTTCTGTCTTGTGTGTTTGGGGGGGGCGGGGGCTTTACCCACAGATATGGAGCACATCTGGGATCAGTGATGCTGGCTGTTTGGAACTAAACAGCCCTGTATGTGTCCAACTGTGTTTATTATTAACAAAAATGATCCTAAGCACTATAAACATTTAGATAAAAACATTAACAGAGTAAAGCAATACGTTTTAAAACAACTCATTAAGGGGCTCAGTGACTGAGGGAAATGCATTTCATCTAGCAGATTATAAAGTTTAACATCACAGCAACAGTGTTATATTTTAGAGTAATAGATAAACCAATACATCAGCCGGCCCATATTTTTGGCTGATTACAGTACATTGTTGCATGAAGCAGCCATGCCTTGAGATCAGGCAAAGTGTAGCATTGCAGCCCCCCTTAATTTGCTTTTGTGTCATTAATTTGTCATGTTTTCTTTTATTTCTTTGTTAATTTTTTTTATGCTATTTTTTTTTGTGTATCACTTAATGTTATTTTTATGTTTATTTTGACCATATAAATGAAAGAAAGAGAGCATTGCTTTAAGAATCAGCTGAAAATAGTGCATATTAAGGATCAGTTAGAATGATGGCACAATAATCTGTATCGGCATCGATGTCCAAAATCTAAATACATCCCACACTTTTCAGAACTTTACATCAAATATAAATATAAAAAAAATGGGGAAAAAAACAGTTTGAGAATCATGCATTATTTTCCTTCATCTATTTTTTCAATACATTTCCAATAAATGTTGGTCGTTCTAGACCAAATTTACCAGTGGAGCCAGTGTTTTTTCATTGGCCCAACAAACAAAAGAATCAGAGCAAAAACCAGGCAATGATTCGTTGTTTAATAACCAAAAATCCATTTGCACCTCTGGAAACCTCAAATAAAACATCATGATCAAAGCCATGAACCTTAGTTCCCCCTTAGTAAGACTTAAGCTAAAAGGGCAACGGCTTAATTTTTCCACCATTGTGGAAATAAAACTAAAAAATGTTTTAAAACTTGTCCAATGGACCATATGATTTACGGTTTCTGTGCCAGCACATACATTTTTATTTAGTCTTATGGCTTCACTACAGGGGCCAGGACCAGTTATGCAGGGGCCCTCGCCCCTGTCGGCCCCTCTCTAGAACCGCCCATGCCAATCAAATACTTTGAAGTTCTAGTAAGGCCAAAATGGGGATAAACGTTTAAGTGGCATGATATATATGTAATATATTATTTTTTATTGTTTGTTTGTGTTAACCACTGCGCCACCGAAACACATCCAGTAGATATATTTTCTGGGAGATCTCGTATTTTCCTCCACTAGTTAAACATTTGATTTTCACAGGTGGAGATTCTCAGTCATCCAGGTTATGGTCATTCCAAAAAAAAGAAAATTACCAACAATCGAAACTTTATCAAAAAACTTGAATTTTAAAAACAATTGAAGCAATTAAAACAATTGAAACATCTTCAAACTTGGAAACAAAGTCCAGTGGATTGTTTTTAATTTTCTTATTTTTGGAACATTTCATTTTTTGCATCTGTTATATGTAATCATGTCTTGCAGCGAGCATGTAGGTTAACCTGTCCCCCCACATGTGGAGCACTTTAAATAATAATAATGTTTCTGTTCTTCCTCCATTTTAATGCATGTGGAGCTTTTCTCAGGTAGCAGAGATGTAGGCCTCCGTCACACAGCTGTGGGCCCACAGGGGCTGATTGATTGCCTCTTAAAAGTGTTGTTCGTGTCAGTCATCCAGTTTTATTACCCTTCAGTACCTGGTGATTGTCATACCTCAGTGGGTGGGTGGGGGGTCAGGTAGCTGCAGATGTCGGCGGGAGGTCACGCTGATTGAGGCAGATTCGAAAAGAAATGTAATTAGATCGGTGGGGCTGGCTGACATGTAAGAGACATGGGGATGCTGGGTTATAGGTGTGTGTTGGGTAGGGGGGAGGGAGGGTCAAAGACACACTACATAGGTTGGCCTCCTGCCCCAACTCTCCAAACAAATTCCCTGATTAGCTCCTCTGTCACGAAGCACTGGCTCACGACTCTATTATCAGATGCTCTAAATAGATCTGAAGTTGTCTGGTCGGCTCCTTCTGTTGAGGAGGAGGGCAGGAGTTAATGTGGTGGTCTCACCTCAGGCTGAGGAGATAATTGACTATGAGGCCTGGACTAATGGTGCATTAGGCAGCAAAGCAATTAAAAACACTGATCATTGCAGCTCCACCATCTCTCTTACACACGCACACACTCACATGCACACGCAATAAATCTAGAAGAATGAGTCACTTTGGAAATTACATAGCCAATTTTATACCTTCGCCAGCTGCCCTGTCTAAGTCCGTTTGGCAAAAAGGAAAGGAAAAAGTTTTAGCATGGAAATAACAGTATGGGCTAGGTTTAGGTTACAGCTACTTCCTGTTTGTGGACTCTTCAGCAGTGCCAAAGGTGGGATGAATAAACGTGTCAACTCAATAAAAGAAGCGCTTTTTAGTGAAAAAAGGAACAAGCATGGTTTTCCTACACTGCAGCTATTCAAATAAGGTGTATTGTTTTGGATTTATTGGAGAGTGGGTTGAGTGAAGTTGGAGCACTTTGAGTTCATGGGTTTGTTATTTACTGGGCATTTTCTGATTCTTTGGTTCATGTTTTTAGTTCAGGGCTATTTTAACACAAATATTTGGGAGGAAAGTGTTCCCAGCCAGCTTACCTGCAGTGTGCAGCTTGTGAATTTCACCATCTTCACAGGATCACTCTTGACTTTGAAGCCGTAAGAATGACATGATGCAGCAGGTAACAGGTCTATGAATAAGAGAATTAAAGGGTTTAACCCAGAGTTCAAATTGAGCATTTTTACCCAGACTGTTAGAATGCGAAATATATTTTGGAGAATGATCATGGTGACTGAGCACAGCCGAACCCAAACCTGGTCCCTTAAGATTAACCCAAATAAACTATAAATCCACAGCTGCAGTATACAAACAGGTGGTTTCTGTGCTGTAAAATATAATTCATGTTTTGGTAATTGATGGAACTGATGGAGGAAAACATCTAAGTGTGAAAAGGTTTATATTTCTGAAAACTGTTTGGTGTTACATTTGGAGAAACGAATTAGAGCTTAAATGCCAAGCAGAATGCAGCAGCTTAATTCTTTGTCACGCATTATTGACATTAAAGCACGTTATTGTCCTTTTTCACATGACCAACTCAAGAATAACCACTTAAAACTGCTTTAGCAAAGGTTTGGTGATTCTAATGTTCTAAAGCATGCAGATGCTCCATGATCCACAGAGGGTAACCACTAAAAACTAAAGCATCGGTGATAATAAGCAAAGAATGAGTCATGAACCCACAGTAAATGGGTAAGGCCATCAGAGACCCTAGTGAGTCACAACAATGTTTCCCAAATCTACATCTGTGTGATTATCTGGAAGATAAAACTCCTCCATGCAGAGAAAAAGTTGACCTTAGCCTGTTTGATGTTGATTGGATTGTAATTGTGTTTTGGATCTCTTTGTTGTTTGTTAAAAGATAAATTAAAACGACTCGCCTACTTCAACAAAACCAAAAGTATTTCATTTAGATTTTACAGCAATCTCTTGCATGTGTCACAAATAATGACCTGAAATGGGTTATGATGCACAAGGTGTCGCAGAAATACATCAAATGGAGCCTGTAATATTAACAAGCAAAAATAAAACTCACTTAGTCAAAACATGGAACCCCAAACCCAAAGTCCATGCTTTACTTACAAGTTGTCATGGAGACTTAAGGAACGCTATGTATCTGTGTTGTATGTATATCTTTTTTTTTTTCCATGGGTCTAAGGGAGCAAGACTGAGGTTTAAACTTGGTAAATATAGAAAAGAATACATGCTACACAATAAATGAAATGAAAACTGGATGCAGTAAACTGCTGAAAGTCTGCACATCAACACAGGTTGATGCATTTTTAATAGCAGTAGATTTTAATGTTTTCTTGAACAGCTTAGAGGAAAAAACTGCAGAAAGATTGTCAGACTGTGTTCAGCTTTTAAAGCAGTTTGCTTTTATCCCTTTAGTTTGGTCTCCTTAGCTAAAGCCGAGATTGAAGCAGCCAGAATTGGCTCCTCTATGTCCGAGGCCATAGTCTGGACTGGAAAAAGGTGAATTGTCCCCTTCAGGTCTCCACTTGAGAGCTTTTGTCTCAAGTGGAGGAGTTGAAGTTCTTGGTGTCCTTTTCAGGAGCAAGATAAGAATAGAGTGAGAGATGGATGGACTGATGGTGAAATGCGGACAATGCGCCGGGCTGTTTTTGTGAAGAGAGAGCTGAGCGAAAAGACAAACCTTGTTAATTTGTAGATCTGCGTGCCTACCCTCAAATATGGTCATGAACTCTGGATCATGGCAGAAAAATAGAGGCCCTGGATGCAAGCGGCTGAATTGAGCTTTCTGCACAGAGTGGCTGGGCTCTCCTATACCCCCAGATTCCACATCCTCTGTCAGCCCTCCGCTCTGCCCCGCCCCGCTCACGTACATCATGCAGAGCACTTGTCTGTCATGTTAATCAATGAGAACTGTTCCACATCCACCGCTACTTCTCCATACGTCACAGTTCACAGTTCTCCATCCTTCACCGTCAAAATAGAGCTAATTTTTGCTCCTTTCCAGCCAGCTCAATATCCGCAATTTCAATCACACCAAACAGGAAGAAGAACATCGATTTTATCCGGTTTGTCAAATTAAAACATAGTAACGTTGGATTGATAACTACAAAATAGAGCAGAATTTTATATATTCCCAAAAACTAAGACCCTTTCATTAAATGATTGGATGCAAACTATTGGTACTTCAAAATACCAGGAAGCAGATTTCCGATGTCCATCAAAATATTTATTTTATACCGAGAGGCTTAAAAGTTTAATCAAATCCAGTCACAACAACTTCCAAGATCACATTTCACTTCAAAACAAACTTCTTATTCTTATTATTTGGGAAGAAACTGCACATATGCTGAATGCTGATGGGGATTTTTTTAATATGTCATAATTAAGCGTTCATTACCACATGTTTTGTTCCTATGAATTTAATATTAATATAGCGCATACTCTCCTCAAGCCCAAATAAGTCAGAGCGGAGCAGGAGGGGAGGAAAAGCGGAGGCTGTTGGCTTTGCTTCGAGCAGCGGGGCGCTTGCGGTGGATGTGGGATTTTGGGGTTAGAGAGAGGGTGAGGAGCTCAGTCATCGGGGAGAGGCTTGCAGTAGAGCTGCTTCTCCACATCTAGAGAGTCAGCCGAGGTCAGATACCCCCCTGGACACCTCAGGAGGTGTTCCAGGGCCATGCCACCAGGAGGACGCCCAATGGACGACCCAGGACACATCTCTCAGGTTGGCCTTGGTCCCTCAGCATACCTGGAGGAGGTGTGTGAGCAGAAGTAAGTCTGGAAGTCTGCTGCCCCCACAACCCGCTGAGGATAAGGGGAGGAAAGATACGATTGCTATGGTTTCCAATAAGCATCCAAAGCCCTCTATATTCTTACTGACTGGGAGAACAGCTGTGTTTTAGAACGTTTCAGACTTGAAGATCTTTTTGGACATATTTATTCAGCGGTGATTCTGATGCCCTGTTTGTCGTGTATGTCAGATAGAGCTGCTGACTGCAGCTGTGGGACCTTCCCCACAGGCAACAGTCAGGAGGAAAAGCTGTTCCACTAAAGGCATTGATATATTGATCACAGCAGCTCTAACTCCATCCTCGCTTTAATAGGAAGGACTCGAATAAAGAGGCATTTTTTCTGTCTGCTTGGAGGTTTGATCAGACAATCGTTCCATTTCTGGCCCTATGCCTGCAGTTCAGGAAGTCGTCTTTCTCTGGACGTGTTGCCTCTCCTGCTGCAGAGCTAAATTGGGTAGAAAGATTGTGTGCCTTTGTTTGTACGCTCGAGTTATCTTGTACACGTTTGTGGTCATGATCTGCGGCTCTTCTTGTGAAGCAGTCTGGACGGGCTCAGACATGAGAGTGAGGGTTTTGTGTTCTCCTCTACCGGGGGCCGTGGAAGATGACTAATATTGGAGTCCTGACTTCAAGCTTTCCTCAAATAAAAATGGCACTTATACAACATTTGAACATAATTTATTTTAATCGGAGGCGATTGCCCTTCCTGTTTGCCAACTTGAATCACTCTAGTTGCTGATTGTTTCAGCTTTGAGCTGTCTGGTTATCAAACCGGAAATCGGATGTTTTCACTCAGTCAGTGAATGAGTCTGTCAGTGTATCTCTAGTATATCTCAATGTGAATTCTTTAAACAAAATAAAGAGATAATTAATTAGTTTTTTTTGCCTCCTCTCCTTTCTCTACTGTCATGCAGCTGGCTGGTCGTGGGAACAAGGACAACAAATGCTCCATAAAGGCCGTGGAGGAGATGCTGGAGTCCATGCAGATCACCATGTCATAGATATCTGGTTTCACACGTTTCCTTTTTCCTCTGTAAAGTCGGAGCAACTCGGCAGCTCAATAATAACGGCGATTTGACCAGATGTTCATCCTTAAGTGTTTTCTTTTCTCCCTTTCTTAGATTTTTTTTTTTTATGTGATTATTTAATTTTGAACAGACAATAGCTCTAAATAAATTAGAAACTAAAGTAAACCATGCTGTAGATGTTTAGCTGTTAAACAGTCCCAGGTTGGGTTGAGCTGCCCCCTCCTCATCCCAGCTTCTGAGAGGTTTGGACTGTTCTCCATTAGCGCTACATCAACTTTAATATTGAGGCAGTTTTGGCTGAACAATAGATTGTATTTATGACATCGTGATGATCCTGTGTTCAGTTTTTGTTTTCAGAAGTATCTGTAAATTAAACTAATAAAAATGTTTTTCAAAATAGAACAACATAGCTTCATTTTTAAATGCAATATCCTCGGTTATTGTTTTTTGATTGTCTTTTTTTTATATATATATATACTGAAATGTAATAATAGACGAAATGGAAATAAAAAAAGCTCTCCTGGTGACCAGTAGGCAGACAGATCCGTCAAAGGTTAAAAGCTAAATCTAATTTTCTAAGCTAATTTCAATGATGCTTTTTGATTTGCTGCACAGCATCTAGTTTTTGTCAGAAATCCCTGACCTTGTATTTGAGTGTTCAATCTTAATACAAACTCATTTAAAAAAAGGGGAAAAAAAACTTGCTTTCACATCTTTTTGTTTTTGTTTTTAACCATTTGGATCAGGTTTTAAACTCTGTTCTCAAACTGGCCCTGATTTGTGGTGCGTTTTAACAAAAAACAGTTAAAACAACTTTTTACGTGAAAACGTGCACCTAGTAGAAATATCAAAGGTGAGCAATTAAATTACCATTCAGCAGATTGGATAAGCCAGTTGATATTCTAGATTCTCAGTTGAAGCTGTTTTTGATGCTATTAAAAACAGAACTCTGAATGTTACTATCAAAGAAACATTCGGACGCTACAAGATCCAAAAATGTCCATGCTTTGGGTTCTTAGCATCCAAAATGTACTGAAAACTGGGGAAAAAATGATTATTCATGAAAGTTATAGAATTTTTGAATAGAAAATAGTGTGGCACCCTAAGAAAAGAGTGCGTCTCTTCCAGAGAGTTTGCATTTTAGCTTCAAGCTTTATTCAGCCTCACATGGCAGAAACATTCTGACCTTTGTGTCATTTGTCGCCTCCACCAAAATCCTGACAGTTATTAATGTAGGAAAATGTTTACTGATGAATTTGGAGAGAATCCTGACAGATGGAGAAGAGATTCATTATAACCCTGTCAGAAGAAGGGCCTGGTTACCCTTCATGTTTGGGCGTACACACTGATCGCTTTCATGAATGGATTCTGATCTGGAGAATATTCTGAGGTTGTTGTTCACCCATGCAGAATCAACAAATGCTTCCATGTCTTTTTTTTTTCTTTTAATTTAATAAAGCCGAGGAAGTTGTCTACAATTTTCCTTTCGGGCTGAGGAAAAAGAACTGTTGAGTTTATGTTGCTCTGACAGCTCTTAAGCTGACACAGGTCCCCAGCTCAACGCTGGAAGTGAACAAATTCTTTCTTCCCTGGTTTTTAAATGTCTCTGTGTTAGCTCATGAATGTCTGCATTTGATTTGCCTCACCGATCTAGCAGAACCAATGAAAGCCAGGCGATGTTTTAACTTCAACTGACCAAAGTTAGTTTTAAAGGATAGGGGTTCAGGCCAGAACAGGCTGTATTTTGAAGAGTTGCAGAGTGAAAGCTGTTTGATTTGAAGCAGAGTTGAGCTTTTTATTTTATTTGCTGAAACTCCAATTTAAATGTTATATTTATTGTTACGTCATGGATGAACTTTTTGTTGGAAAAATAGCTGTCAATTTAAATCGTGATCAACATGAAACACTGGTATTCAATGCCAGACAGACTGAAGCGATAGTGCCCTCTGTAGCTTTAATCAAGAACTGTCTGGAAGTTCTGGGACTTTGAAATGCACAGAATTAAATCTGTTGTGTTCTTTTGAACAAATGTGTAACTATTAGTATGAAACCACACACTTCTGCTGTCAATGAAACCTGAATCTGGCTTCATTTAGTGTTCATAATTAAAAAAAGATTTCCCTCTGTTACCACTGTCTTCACAACCTCTGACTCAGAACCCTTTCAGTTCTTGGTCCGTAACAGAGATTACAAACCAAATTAAAAGGCACTGCAAATAGAAAGCTGCTTGTACTAGTATGTTTAGAGGATTCACTGTTAGTGCCGCATGTAATCCAGGATTCCCAGGAAGATTAGCGGCAGGAGGGGGTTTGCTTGTCCTTCACTGCTATGCACTGAGCAGGTTAGAACAGGATTAGCCCTGGGATAATTGGCTTACTCTGAAGCAAAGCTATGGCTGGTCAGCGGGGTCATCAAATGTAAACCTAACAGCCATCTGAGCCTAAAAGTAATAAAACGCATCAAACAGAAATTTTATCCATCTGTATTCCTTCAGGATGATCAATTTATTTCATCATATTACAAGAAAAGGCTTTGAGCTTAACATCTTTATCTCTTATGTCAATAAATATTTGAAATATGTGCAAAAAAAAAAAAAAAATAATCCTCCAAAAACCCTTAAACTGGTACTAAATGTATCTGGTTTTCTTCTTTGTTTAGCTCTTGAAGAATAAATCTTAAAGGTACAGGCTCTACTTTTTTCTATCAGCACTTTAAGTAAGTTGCTGGAAGGAATCTCTTGCACAAGATTAAAAAAAAAATCTTTAAAAAGATCTGATTAAAGGGAGTCGCATCTCAACAGGCTGATTCTATTATGGAAATTAGAGGTTTATGTTTAAAACTTCCTACTGAATAAATTACAGATTCCTTCATTCAAGCATTGCGTCTTTTAAAGTAAGGTCAAACAAATATTTTCTTCACTGAATTTACTTCAAGTGGAAATCAAACTGTTAAAAAAGTTAATGAAAAATAGATTTCACATGCAGGACTGAAGTATTGAATAAATATGGTAGGGTTGATAAAGCAGATGATAGGCAGGACATGTAGCACGTCTTTGGCATAATATGTGTTGTGGTGTAAAACCCCCTTTCAACCACAGACCTAAACTAGACCAATACTTGGTCGATAAAAATCATCTTTTCAGATTAAGGCCAATTAATTAAATCCTGAGTCATAAGTTAAAATGAAAAAGCAGAAACAATCCAGCTGCTTAAAGAGCTGTCCAAAAGCTGGGCCCTTAGTGTAGATTGTGGGAGCCAGTTCTTTGGCATAAAATAAAGGCTTAAATAGAGTATTAGTCTAAGGGTGCACATTAATGAAATACTTTTATTATACTCTACTTGATCTAAAATATACCAAAAAACCTGCTCCATGCTGTGTAATCCTTAGATGTACTATAAGGGCAAACACCTGTCTCAGTAAATCAAAGCCTTGTGTTTAACTACTGTATGTGGAACAAGAGCACAGAGGATTATCACATAGTATCACACAGGGTATTAAGCTTATATGGCTGCTCGATTAAGACTCATCGACTCTAATCATGGCTTAACGTGTGACGAAATTGTTCTTCACACTGGTCTATAAGGCAGTTGCTTCTCATTGAGGCATAAAATCACATTCCCTCTGCTTTCATAAGTTGTGTGTCATAGAACTAAAATATTAGAGGACACATAAACAAGCTCTTTGAATCACCCACTAATTAAGGATCAAACACAGCATCCAACAATCGAATGGAAAGAACAAGAGTGAGTCATCCAAGGTGCCGTTTAATCTCATGGTCAACTGAGCTCTCACAGTGCAGAGGAGAGGTATAGAGCCAAAGGACCTATTGATGCAAGCATGTGAGATAGCCACAGTGATTAAATGTGGATTACTTGTTTTAACATTGTCTTTCTGGAATTGTAAAGAAGTTGAACGACTGATTGTGTTCCGGGTGCAAATTAACACACAGGAATAAAAACGGTCTGAGTTATTAGCAATATAAATAAAGTTGGTGCTTAATCATGAATTCTGATCAAATGTTTTTTAGCCAGCATTCTGAAATAATTAGACTTAGATGAACCAAAATAAGTGTAGGATGCTCAAAGTCAGTAAGCTGTAAATTAACCACCTGCTTTAAAAAGGTTGTAGTTTGGGGGTTGAAGCAAACTAAAATGGTTTCTGAGAAGCGAAGTGTTCCTTTATCTAGTTAAGGTCATCGACCACCACCAAAGCAATGGGGAAGCTCTCTTAGAGTTAACAAATAAGGTACATTATCTATCCAAAAATACAGTTGCCATCTAAAAGTAACCTTGTGCTGCAAGCTGGATTGTCACGAGATCTGAGTTTTCAGTCACACAACAAATCCGTCTTGAAAGACTCCCACTAATCTCGTAACAACCAATGACATGCCGGCAGTGTTTTTTAGGGGCAGCACATGTAGGAATGACGACAGTCAGAACGGCCCGATCATTACAAACATGGGAACATGGAAGACTCACCTGTTGATACGCAACTGACTCGGTTTTATCTAAAATAGCTACAATTTCTCATTTAAAAAAGGAGCAAAGAGAAGCAATTTGTGCATTTGTAGATAGGAAAGATGTCTGGACATTTTTTCCTACAGGATTAGGAAAGGATTCATCCGCTTATTCCTCTAGTTGTTAAAACACTCTAGAAGCTACAGAGGAATCCTATTGTGATCATCGTGTCTCTGGCTGTCATGGACGGCCAAGTTGCAGAAACTATAAACCTGGGTATTTCTGCTATGAAGCTGCATGACATTTGTAAAGCCCTGATTGGCTGAAAGCATAATATGGTAGGTGGGTACTAGCTGCCACATCACCCAGTGAGCTCGAGGTATTCTACTAAACGTCCCTCCTTTTCATGGACAGATGGACAGCCATCCCAGATTGATAACATAGAACTCAACCCAGTTCTACACATATCTGGCTACTTTCGGGTTAATCTAGCCTGATAAACCAGACTAAATGTGAGATTAAATGTGTAATTTAGTCTGGCCCCGATGAATGAGACATCAGAAGATTGTTGATGAGAACAACCCATTGTTTTGCAAATTGCTGTCTGCACCTATTGGCCAACGCTCTGACCCTTGCGTGCAACTGACTGTGACGTAGTTAGCGCAACAGAAAGCTGGTGGGGGAGTGTAGGCAGCTTTATTTGTATAGCACATTTCAGCAACAGGGCAATTCAAAGTGCTTTACATAAAATCAGTTAAAAAATAAATAAAACACAGAAGAAACAGTTAAAAATAAAAACAAAATAAAACACAAAAATAAAAATTACAGTGCAGTATAAGAGATAAACAGCCTGTCGGTAAAACGGCAAATACGCCCTTCTTAAAAATGAATGAGCGTAGAGCCTCTTCCTGCTCACGTTTCAACGAAAGACTAAT